GCTGGGGTAGTAATACTTCTATTAGACAAAATAGACTTTAAAACAAAGACCATAGCAATAACAAAGAAGTGTGTTACATAATAATAAAGGAACCAATCCAATAAGAGGATATAACGATTGTAAATATCTATTAAACCCCACATGGAAGCACCTAAATATATAAAGAGAATATTAGCAGGCATAAAGGGGGAAATTGACAGTAATACAATAATAGTAGGGAACATTAACACTTCACTGACATCAGTGAATGAGAAAACAGTGACTCTAAATGACACATTAGACCAGATGGACATAAAAAATATATATACAGAATGTCTCATCCCCAAATAGCAGAATACACATTTCTTTTATTTATTTAAAAAAAGTTTTTTAATGTTTATTTATTTTTGAGAGAGAAAAAGACAGACTGCAAGTGCGTTAGGGGCAAAGAGAAAGGGAGATACAGAAACTAAAGCAGGCTCCAGGCTCCGAGCTATCAGCACAGTGCCTGATGCAGGGCTTGAACTCACTAGCTGTGAGATCATGACCTGAGCCAAAGTCCGACGCTCAACTGACTGAGCCACCCAGGCACCCCTTCTTTATTTATTTTTTAATGTTTATTTATTTTTGGGAGAGAGACACAGACAGACAGACATGTGAGCAGACAGAAGGGAGGGGAAGAGAGAGAGAGAGGGAGACACAGAATCTGAAGCAGGCTCCAGGCTCTGAGCTGTCAGCACAGAGCCCGACACTGGGCTCAAACTCACAAACCATGAAATCATTACCTGAGCCAAAGTTGGAGGTTTAACCTACTGAGCCAGCTAGGTACCCCAGAATACACATTAGATGCACATGGAGCCTTCTCAAGTATAGATTACATGCCGGTGCACAAAAGAATTCTCAATAAATTTAAAGAAACTAAAATTATATCAAGCATCATTTCTAACTACTACAATATGAAAGTAGAAATCAATTACAATAACAAAACCCTGGAGAAAACACAAACTCATAGAGGCTAAACAACGTGCTCAACAACAAGTGGATCAACGAAGAAATGAAAGAGGAAATTAAAAAATAACTAGAAACAATAGAAAATGGAAACACAATAGTTCAAAATCTTTGGGATACAACAAAAGCAGTTTTAAGAAGGAAGTTTATAGTGATACAGGCCTACCTCAAGAACCAAGAAAAATCTCAAACAATGTGACTTTATCTGTAAAGGAACTAGAAAAAGAAGGCAAAATCCAAAGTTGGTAGAAGGAAGGAAATAATAAAGACTAGAGTGGAAATAAATGAAATAGAGACTAAAAAAAACAAAAAACAAAAAACACAAAAAGATCAGCAAAGCTAAAAGTTGGTTCTTTAGAAAGATAAACAAAATTGATAAACCTTTAGCCAGACTCATCAAGAAAAAAGAGAGGACTCAAAATCAGAAATGAAAGAGAAGTTGCAACCTACACTACAAAGGAATATAAGAAACTACCATGAAAAATTGCCAACAAATTGAATAATCTGGAATAGATAAATGCCTAGAAATATACAGTCTTACAAACTGAATCAGGAAGAAACAGAAAATCTGAACAGAGCCATTACCAGTAATAAAATGGAATCAGTGATCAACAAAATCCCAACAAACAAAAGCCCAGGACCAGATGGGTTCCCAGATGAATTCTACCAAACATTTAAATATAGTGTTTTGAAATTTAATTTGTTTAGAACAATTAGTTACATCATGGGCAGCACCCCATAATCAATTACATTAATATTTATGCTTTGAGAAGTATTTACAGATTAAATGGTAAAACGTCTGGGAGGAGAGGAGAGGAGGTTGGGGTGTATACATTAAATAAGATTTGGAAAAGAATTATTGATCTTTCATTGTATTATCTACTTTTATATCTTTTGGAAGTTTTCCATAATGAAAGTTCAAAGATCTATTTCTGGAGTGAATTGTTACAAATATTAGGAGGGCAGAGTAGGATAAAATATTAGCTTCATATCAGGTCAGACTTGGCCAAGTTCATATCAGTTCTAATTTTGCTGCCAAATAAATTATGGGAAATCTTTCAGTGTTCAAAGCCTTTTTGATTTTGGAATTGTAGAGAAGGGTCCTAAAACCTCACAATATAGAACAATACGGAAATTTGTTCAGACTAGTTACTTCTCCTATTTGCAACTAGGCATTGGGGGGGCGGGGGTAGGAGACATACAAGGGAGAAGAAATTTTTGCTTTTTATTTTCTACCTGTTTATACAGTTTAAATTTTCATATTAAAAAGTTTACATTGAAAAAAACTCAGACATTTGTCATGTGACTACTGTCTGCCTAATTTTATTGAATATTGAATACTTGCAATGTGCTATATACTTTTAAGAATTCAAAGTATTATGAAACATATGCACAAGAATATGCATATGACCCATCATACACTTTGATCATAAATCTCTTAACACTTAATATGTAAAACTGAAAGTACTGTATAGTATATTATTAAATGCTTGAGTGTGTAATTTGTACATTCTTGGCATTTAATCCTCTACGGAGTTTCACTATAGGATCCAGGTTTCCTTCTAGATATAAGGTTTTACAACTAAATGGCTTAAGTACGGAAAACAATTGTATCAGCAAAAACATTTTCTTTTTTAATTGTGGCAAAACAGAAAAAGGTTAACATTCCTAAGTTTATAGTTGAGTAGCATTAAGTACATTTGCATTGTCATGTAATCACCACCACTAGCCATCTCTAGAACCTTTTACCTTGCAAAACTGAAACTCCCATTAAACAACAACTTCCCATTTCCCTCTTCCCTGAGCCCCTGGCAACCACCATTCTACTTTCTGTCTCCATGAATTTGACTGCTCTAACTAGCTCTTCTGAATGAATCATATAATTATTTGTCCTTTTGTGAATGATTTCTTTCACTTAGCATAATGCCTTCAAGGTTTAAGCAGGTTGCAGCATGTGTCAGAACTTCTTTGTAAGGCTGAATAATATTTCACTGTATATATATGCCACATTTTCTTTATGCATTAATCTGTGGATCCCTGTGTTGCTTCCACCTTGTGGCTATTATGAATGTGGGTATACAAGTATCTGTTCTAGTCCCTGCTTTCAATTCTTTTGCATATGCACCCAGAAGTAGAACTGCTGAGTCATATGGTGATTGTATTTTAAATTTTTTGAGGAACCACCATTCTGTTTTCCATAGCAGTTGTACCATTGTACGTTCTTACCGGCAGTACACAAGTTTTCTAGTTTCTCCACATCCTTGCCAACACTTGTTATTTTCTGTACATTGATAGTTCTCTTGATGGGTGCGAGGTGGTAGCTCGTTGTGGTTTTGATTTGTATTTCCCTAATGATTAGTGATTTTGAACATCTTTTCATGTGCTTATTGGCCACTTGTAGTCCTTCTTTGGAGAATTATTTATTCAGGTCCTTTGCCCAGTTTTTCACCGGGCTGTTGGTTGTTGAGTTGTAGTTCTTTACGTATCCTGGATATTAACCCCTTATCAGATATAGGATTGGTAAATATTTTTTCCCCTCTCCGTGGGTTGCCTTTTCACTCTGTTCATAGTTTCCTTTGATATACAAAATTTTTAAATTTTGATGTGACCCAGTTTTGTTTTGGTGTTTTGACACCATCTAAAAAATGATCACCAAATTCAATGTCATAAGGCTTTTCCCCTGTTTTCTGCTAAGAGTTTTATAATTTTAGGTCTTATGTTTAGGTGTTGGTCCATTTTGAGTTAATTTTGGGTACGGTATAGGGTAGGGTCCAACTTTCTTCTTCATGTAGATATCCAGTTTTCCCATGTCATCAGTTGAAGATTATCCTTTCCTCCATTGAATGGTCTTTAGAGCCCTGCTGAAAATCATTTGACCATAGATGCTGGAAGGGCACTTTAAGAGAAGTGGAACTTGAGCCACACATTGACAACTGAATACCATTAGAATGTCTAGGAAGCAGTGGGGAGGGTGTTTACCCATGGGGGCACCGCAGCCAAAGTATAGAGATAGGTAGGAGAAAGCATGATGGTTTCAGCATAACAAGGAGTTTGTGAGAGAAGTTGGGTTGCTGAGCAGTGCGGAGTTTTAACCAAGGAGAGGTCACATGGTGAAGGGACTTAAATAGCAGGTTTCTGCCCAGGTGACTAATATGAAGCTGTATTTTAGATTAATGTGGAAATGAAGTCCAGGGACGGGGGTGCATCTTTAACCTAAGGCTAATTGAACAGGTAGTGGTTTTAAATAATGAACTATAGAATGAGAAACCAGCAAAGCTATTTACATGGGCTGCCCTATGAAAAATCCCCAAGACAGGTCAGTGATTTTTTCCACTGTGTTTGATACCTAATTCATTTTATTCCTGCGTTTTAATTTCTTCCTCTATAATTTCTTGTCAACTAGTTTTTTGAGAATAAAGACAAAGTTATGCTAATGCCATTATGAATTTCACATAATCGAGCATTTAACTTTATACGATACTATCCAAGTTTTGAAGAGACTAATATTGTCATATTGTCTTGAAGAGATTTATGACTAAAGCATATGATTTTGTTTGTGTTGTTTTATGTTTTATTGATTTTGTACCTGGGGATGACTTAGTGTAGTAAAAATGTGACCATTTTTCACTTAAAGGTTGTGGGATGTTAGGAAATCTTTCTTTACTCTCAGCTCTGTTGTCTATAAGGAACTGATAAGGAACAGATTCTTTATGTGAATGCCTATTTTGAACTGTATTACTATTCAAACTTTGCCACATGCTATATTAAGACAGGCAACATGACTTACCTAAGAGCTCTTACCCTCAGAGTTTTAGGTTTCTATTTACCGCAGGCTACTTTTCAGCGGCCCATAGTAAAAAGTAAGTATGGCACTGAACAAATTAGTCTAATTGTGAAAACTGTCATGACATTCAGTCTCCTGTGTTTCACTGTATTTTTATCAGTAGATTATGCATTTGGAGGAGAAAATTACCTTATACATAGAGAAAAATTTTATGTGTCACTTTTTAAAGGTTACAGGCTTCTTCCTCCCTTGAGGACTCAAGGCCAGCAGATTTAATGAAAGATTCTCACACTATAAACTGCAGGAAAGTAAGTACGGTAAGTGTTAATATTCATGAAATATTATTTCTTTTGAGAAAAGATGCCGTCCTGTAAAAATAAACTCTTTCCATGGATTTTAAGAGGCAACATAGAATAGTGGCTGACAGCATACTATTTGGATCCGAGTTGTGACTCAGACATTTATTGCTGGGCAACCACAGGCTTGCTATTTAAACTCTGTGCCTCAATTTCCTCATCTGTTAAGTAGGGATAATAATAGCACCGAACTCTTGGAGTGGTGTGCAAATGAAGTGATTTTATGCAAAAACAAACAAAAACTTAACAGTGACTGGTACACAACCTGTGACCAATAAATGGTAGCTATTAATGTTATTTTAATGGGTTCTAATTCAGTGGATTAAATGTACTCCTTATGGTGTGGGGAAAAATTACTATAAGCTACTATTTAATTCAATTTAACATATACTAGCTATTTGAAATGCATGGTTACGTTTACAAAATTGATTAAATGTAGTCCTAAATATCTGGAGGAGCCATCTACAATATAATTCTAATGTATCCCAGACAACAAAAAGATCTAAAGTGGGACTATAAACTAAGTGGTATAAAAATATAAGAGAAATCTGACCGGAAATTGAAAAAATGTTTTTATACACATGTCCTAAGTCTTTCGGTCTAGTATTTAAGTTTTACTCCTACATTTAGCAAATGTTTATTAAGTACCCCTTTTTTGCCAGGCAATAAGCTAGAAGCAGGGAGTTACGGCATTCCAACATAATCTCCAAGTAGTGTGCATTATATAGACATTTCATAGATCAAATTCACCAACTTAATAAGAAAGTGTAGGTAAATGAAGTATTTTTTTTTCACCGAGCATTACTGCATTTATTGAGTGTTCAAACTAAGGTTTAAGAAACCATACATTGCTTAAGGGTATTTATATAGGTGCTAAAATTATAAAAGTAACAAGAAAATCAACATAAAACTCAAGACTGTGGTGACTTCAGCAGAAGAGAAAAGGAGATGTGATCGGAGGGCAATTGCCAGGCTAATAAAGGGTCAGTAGTATTATATTGGTAAATGATGTATATTGATAAGCTACATTAAATATTGAATTGTGGGGCGCCTGGGTGGCTTAGTCAGTTTAAGCCTCTGACTTTGGCTCAGGTCAGGTCATGATCTCATGGTTCCTGAGTTCGAACCCTGTGTTGGGCTCTTTGCTGATAGCTCAGAGCCTGGAGCCTGCTTCAGATTCTGTGTCTCCCTCTCTCTCTGCCCCTCCCCTGCTTGCTCTCTCTCTCTCTCTCTCTCTCTCTCAAAAATAAGCAAACATTAAAAAAAATTTAAATACATTCAATTGTTTGGCTTGTAACTCTGCAACAATATGAAAACTTGTTGGTAAAAGCCTCTAGTTTAATCCATTTCCCACTCCAAAGCACTATTTCCCATTGTAGTTTCATGTGTGATAGTTTTATGATCATTTTCTTAAAAAAAAAAATAGCTTTTCCTCCTTAATCCAAAACTTGTCCTTATAGCATGTACATTCAGTTATTGTTATAAAGAATGTGGACCCTGGCGTCAGGTGGATGGGTTAGAATAATGGCCCCAACACTCTGGGCAAGCTTTAGCCCTCAGATTTCTGACCTCACAACTTTTGAGACACGAAAGGAGAGGCTGCTTGTGGGGTCCTGGCACATAGTACTGGGCAGATGCAGGCTGTCATACTGATGATGGCAGTGGTGGCACTGCCATCAGGCCCACATCCGACCATTGCTAAGAGGTTGTTATTTCACTCAAGTAGGAGCCTTACTATTTATTATCCTGTCTTTTCAGATGTCAAATAAGGAGCCGATTCCACGAAATCCTTCTGAAACAGGGGAGCCAGAGGCTCCAAGGCAAAACCACAGTGCTGTTCCTTCCCATAGTCACGAGCCACTCCTTGGTAGGTTTTCTTTGGCAACTACCCACCATCTTAGTTTACCTAACACTTTCTTAATCATTATATTTTCAGACTTAGGAGACTTCTAGAGAAGCAAATAGTTAAAACTAAGATTTTTTTCAAAATCCTAAATGCAGTAAATCACTCGACTTTAAGGTGTATGCTACCTAATGCACCTGTCATTGTAAGTTCAGTTATTAACTGAATCAGTTATGGGTATCGTTAATATATGCCATTTAGATAAAACTAAGGTACTTATATCTAGGGAAAAAATGTCCATTCCCAAGAATAAGAACTTTTGAATGATACCAATCACAAAGTGTTTAAGATGTAATTATTCATTTTAACTATGTTTATGCAGACTCAAATCAAGTATACAGTTTTATACCATACATAACTAACATTGATCTACTAGAAACGTATGTTAAAGAGAATCAAAGAGGTTGAAAGAAAACGAAGATCAGCTTCATGCAGAGCCACATATTCATCATCTCAAATTGCATTGTACTTTGAAAAATTTCTAGAAAACTTTGGCTAATCTGTAGCTGTATGTTAACCTATAATCTCTAGAACCTTTTCCTTGTATCTAACTTATAACTCATTTCTATGGTTTCTTATTTCCTTTTTCAATAAAAATGTGGGCATTTTTCCTTTTATAACATTTTCAGATTTTTGGAAGAGGATGCTTTTGTATCCATCTTCTCATTCAGATTAAACAAATACAAGGCATTTTTTCCTTGGCATTTTCACAAGGCATCAGATTAAAGTTAAATCTATCCTTCCAGGCTCTATACATACACATGCATGAATTCTGGCCCCTAGCTTCCAACTGTCTTTTACCACTGTCATTTTCTATTAGAAAATTCATAGACTAGCTCACTTATGTGTATCAAGTGAGTTATGTGCAATTTCTGTGACAGCACCTTGTTATAAAAAGAGGTGACCCATTTAAAAATATATCAGCCTTCTGCAATTTAAGACAGAGCTTTTGCCTTCAAAATTATATTGTATAGTGTTCTTGCCTTTCTTTTTAGTTTTCTTCAAGTTTTTAATTCAAGTTAGTTAACATACAGTGTTACATTAGTTTCAGGTGTACAATATAGTGATTCAGCACTTCCATACATCACCCTGTGCTCATGATGGCAAGTGCCCTCCTTAATCCCCATCACCTATCTCAGCAGTCCCCTTGCCTACTTCCCCTCAGGTAACCATTAATTTGTTCTCTATAATTAAGACTCTGTTTCTTGATTTATATCTCTTTTTTTGCTTGCTTTGCCATTTTTAACGATACTCATCTTTTAACCTCCAAATGTACTCACATGAGTCTGTATTTTAATTTGATAGGCCAAGGTGCCCAGCTGGATTTTGATGCCCTGTGTGACAATGACGACACAGCCATGGCTGCCTTCATGAATTACTTTGAAGCAGAAGGGGGCCTGGGAGACCCTGGGGACATCAGTGATATCCACTGGACACTCTAGCATTTGATTTTCTAACTCTAAAAATTAGGAATGTGATAAAGCATTTCATTTACAAAAAAAAAAAAACTGTACAATCTTCTGCTCTGTATTGATACTGTTCTTATCTTTTATTCCTATTAATGGTCTACCAATTTTTATAGATTTGCACCTTTCACAGCAGTATGGGGGAAATGTGAGGTTTCCCTTCACAAAGAATGGCTCAGCGTTTCCTACAGACCCCTTGGCTCAGTGAAATGGCTTAAAACCCACTAGTTGCTGTATTTTTGCTAAAATATTTCTAACCAAGAATATCACATACACCTTGTTTTGGTTTTGTTTTTATTTTCTGATGCAATTTTTAAGTTTGGGGAATTTAATATATTGTGTCTAAGATTCATTTATAATTGATTTATAATAGCAGATTTATGTAAATTGGAACATCACCACTTCCTGTGTATTTCCTTAGTTGAGAATAGGGCTTAAATATTTTAAGAAAACCGAGTACTTGAACATGTAAGAAATGATATAATCGGTGCTCGTAATTGTAATGAATACAGTATTCAGTCGTTGTAGACTTGGATACAGGGTATTTATGCTTAGTGAAGCACTTGAGATAGACTTTAAGTGAGATGATTTATTTAAAACTCAGGAGAAAAAAAAGAAAAGAAAAGCTGGGAGAGTTTCAGCTTTGCTTACAGAAGACCTTAGTCCTAGTTCTTGGTAATTAACCTTTGCATGTAAGAATTACTGTTAACATAACCAATCAAGATTTTCATTATATCTAAAACCAGTTTTTGATGCAGTAAAGGTGCTTAGTGAAGGATTAGCCATGGAGGAAAAAAACAAGCCCAGGCAGGATAAATGTCTTGTGTAAAGTCACAATTAAATTCGTATTTTTGAAATGTTTAATGTGTATAAACCAGTTTCTTTATACACATTTGGGGAAGCACTGGTTTCGCTGGTTAAATGATGAATTGACTGACCCAGGAAATAGCTGTGGCCTTCTAGATTAGGCAATTATGGTTACTGTTGCCTGTAGCCAAAGGTAGTTATGTAAAGGCTAAGTATAATTTTGAAACTATGAGGCAATGAGAAAGAATGTAAAAACCAATTTTCTAGCTATAATTACAAATTTGGAGATCATTTTTTAACTAGTAACTGGGAGGTGGCTTAAACTGAGTACAAGAAGAATATTTAAGATAATACATGTATATCTACCTTTTTGAAGATCATAATTTCATTATACATTATGTTTTAATTGCTCTTTCTAGTTTACCCAGTGTGTTTCCATGTATTTTTTTTTTTTTTTTTGGTGCCCCACGTATGGAAAGTAAGATAGGCTAGGAAACTAATGGAGAAGCCTGAGGCTCAGTAGGGGATCCAATGCCGTTTTCTTCCTCTAGGTGGTGCTCTACCTTCCAACAGATCTCCCTCAGAGCCTCTCACCAAAACAAAGCATTATTTTGACTCTGCATATTTCTTTAGGCTGTACATAATAAGTTAGAACTTTTGTCAGACATGTTAATGGCAAACATACCAACAGGCAATAGGCCAAAAGCACATGTTCCCTTAAAGCGGGACAGCTGCAGTGGCCATGTGGGCAACGGCGTATCAACGTGTCCTGCAGCACTTACAGTGTTCCAGCAATATTAGAAGATCAGCCCCACTCCTGGTTCCGGAACTTGAGACACACTCAGGTTTAGAATAAGCCAAAGAAACCCTATGAGATGAAGGACCTTGGTTTGCAACAGCCTAAGCATGACGGTTCCATCTGAAGAAGCAGGAATAAGTCAGAGGCCTTACCAACATAACATTTTTGTGGGGCTAAACCATTGCAGGTTGGGCGTGGCCTCTAGAGTTGAACTCAGCCAGTGGTAGCAAGATGGGTCACTGTGCTGGATGTCCTTGAAAGTGGAGGGGCTTTATGATGCAAGGATCTGGGAGGCAGAATTTCTAGAAGCAGGCCATTGCTACCTGGCATAGTAACAGTTTTTCCTCTTTGCAAGAGGAAGGGTTATTCCATAGAACACTGGACAGATAGCCAATTGAATGCTTTGATCCTTTAATAATCCACTCTAGTATTTTTCTGTAGATCTTGTCCTGGATCCAGAATCCAGTCCATGCAGCGTATGATAGCTGTAGCTCTCCCGAGATTAGTGTTTTCTCCAAAGTGTGTTGCATTTATGTTGAATTGTTGTTAGGAGTGATATTTTTATGATTTGCCCTATAACTAATTTTTCTCCTATTCATTAATTTCCTGCATTTCCTGCAATTTCAAACATCTGTACATTGAATGAAATCATAAAAAGAGTAATTTTTTTTCTAAGTCTAAGAATTACCTACAATAATGGAGTGGAGTGGGACAAGAGCCTAGAAGCTGAAGAGCCTACTCAGCCTAAATTAAGCTGTGTGACCTCACATAAGCCATTTAAATACTCTGTACCTCAGGCTCCTTGTCTGTACAAGAGGCTTGACCTCTAGGTTTACTTCCAGTTCTGATTCTGTGATTCTAATCTACAGGACTTGAGTATTAGGGTCAGACTCTAGAACTGTGCAGTCCAGTATGATAGACACAGGCCATGTATGGCTGTTGAGCACTGGAAATGTCACTAATGCAAATTGAGATAGCACCAGATTTCATACACTTAGTATAAAAAAGGGAATGCAAAATATCACGTTAACAATTTTATAATGGAATGCCTGGCTGGCTCAGCCAGTGGAGCATGTGACTCTTGATCTTGGGGTTGGGTTCAAGCCCCATGTTGGGCGTAGAGCTTCCTAAAAATCAAATTTAAAAATAATATATAAAGGGGCACCTGGGTGACTCAGTCAGTTAAGCATCTGACTCTTAATTTTTGCTCAGGTCATCACCTTATAGTTCGTGAGTTCGAGCCCCATGTAGGGCTCTACGCTGACAGCATGGAGCCTGCTTGGGATCCTCTTTTTCCCCTCTCTACCCCTCCCCTGCATGGGCTCCCCCCCCCCAAGAAAAAATATAAAAAATACATTTTAAAAACCAGTTTTATACTGATCACTTAGACAAGTATTTTGGATATACTGAATTATATAAAACAGCAACATTTTACTTTTTACTTTTTACTTTTTTAATGTAGCTACTAGAAAATTTTAAATTACACGTATGGCATACATTATATTTCTATTGGACAGTGCTGCTCTAAAACATTTTATTAGATGGATATTATTGAAGTAGACCAAAGGTTATACCATAACTATAATATTTACCTCTAACTGCTATGGCTTAAGGAACAATTGTTTATTGATCCTTGATTTAGTACAGTCAAATAACTGAACCTCTATGTGTCAAATTTAAAACTTTTTTGAAACTAGTGAACCTGAAGATGCTATCAGATATTTTATTAGATGATGATAGCCTGAAATCAAACTTGGGGTGTATGTTGACACTCTATTGTAGCCACTAAATTTGGAAATCTGTTGAAAAATTGAAAGAAAAATAGAGCATAGAGGCTTTTGGTAAGTAAGTGGGATTAAGGTATTTCATTACAGTTTCTTAATGGGAAAGTCTATATTTATTAGTCATATTTTTTGAGGCATTTCTGTAGAGTCTGGGCACAGTAAATGAAATAACCACTACCTAGTTATTGGACCATGTTTAGTAGTGTCGTTTCAGATCCTGCTCTAAAGAGATATCTACCACTCAGGTAGGTCATTGTTTGGCTCAGGAATTGGAAATTCCGATTTGCCAAGCAGTTACCGGCAAGGCAGGGAAGCCATAATGGAAAACTGCCATGTGGCCACTAGGTGTCACTTTTCCATTTCTATAGTGCATAGTTTTCATTAATTTTTCCAAGTTCTATGGGGCCTAGGGGAGGCATTTATGACTTGTGTTTAGATTAGGACTGTGTCTCTGGTGTGGGCTGTTTTATAAGAAATGCTTTTTAAGAGAAGTCTGGGAAGATGCTTCCCATGTAAGAACTTTGGTTTAAGGAGCTTTCCAGATGTGGCTCCAGTAAAAGGTGACTTTAGACTTTAACATGGATGGAATATGCTTTCTGAATTCATTTGAGTGTGTATATGTGTCACTGCTCCTACATTCCTATGCTTAGCTTCGTCTTTTATACAATTTTTACCTCTTTTCCAGTTCACTTGCTCTTGTCTGTATATTAGTATTTTAAAAATTTTGTGGTAATGAAAAGAGTGAAATTAAATATATTTTGTCATAATTACTAGTTTGAAGTTTTTTAAACTTAATATTTAGACCTCTTCCAAAAAAGGTATATCCTTAACTACTTTCTAAAGTGGAAACATAGGGGCGTCTTGGGTGGCTCAGTTAGTTGAACATCTGACTCTTGATTTTGGCTTAGGTCATGATTCCATAGTTACGGGATCGAGCCCCATGTCGGGCTCTGCGCTGAGCATGGAGCCTTCTTGGGATTCTCCTCTAGCTCTCCCTTTGCCCCTCTCCCCTGCTTGTGTTTTCTCTCTCTCTTTCAAGTTAAAAAATAAATAAAATGGAAATACAGACAAGAAAATCCACTCTTCTCAAACCACTGGGCAGAGAGATAGATTGAACTACATTACTCTCTGTATATATTTGTGCATGTTTATGAAGATATGCTAACTGCTGTAACCACCTTCTTCCCCATAAGACACTCAGAAGTTCCCAGCACATGTTGTTCTTCTACCTTGCAATTTCAATGGAAAGAGAGCTTCTCTATTTCCTAGTAATTCACACAAAAATGTCCATTGCTTGGGCCTTTGGATCAACTTGGTTCACATAGATTTTCCTGTGGCCACCAGGCTGGAGTATACAGATTGGCCAGGTTTTAGTTACATGACCAAACTTGGATTTAAAGGCACCCTTGAAAGGGAAATGATGTCAAAAACAGCCAGCTGCCTAATGGTCTAGGGCCAATGGAAAGAACAGAGACATATGCAGAACGGCAATGGAAAACTTGTATTTATAATAGTTGATGATTTCTGAGAATTGTAGGTTTAGCTATCTTGAGTGTGGAGTCTTATTTTTTATTGTTTTTTGGGGGAATGAGAGGGTAGTGAGGAGTAGCAAGTTGTGTGATGTGTTTTTAACATTGGTCACCTTTTTTGTTTAATACCCAGCCATTAGTTGCTTTGGAAGACCCTGTCTGTTGCTCAAGTGTGTGGTTAGGGATCCATAAAGAGTTGTCTTAAGTTCTTGTCCAGCTGTGTGTCTCTGGCTTAGGATGTATTTTCTTAGGCAGTGCTGGTTCTTAAGCTCACATTTAGGTAGTGTTTTCCATATTTATTCCTGTCCAGGAGGAAATCAGTCCCATTTACCTTGGGAGTAAATACATTATGGTGTTTTTTGCTTTTGGTTTTTGGTTTTTTTCAAAAGACAATGCTAAAATGAGAAACCTAGATTATGGAGACATAACTTAATAGAACTCTTAAAACATCTCATTTACTCCAGCTCAAAATATAAGAAGATCCTGAATTCACCTCCTCTCACGGACAGACCAAACCTACAGTGCAGGAGAGGAGACAGTGAAGCAGGCCTCTGAGAGTCCTTGACACTGTTGCATCCTGCCCCATCCTGCCACAATCATAGTCTGCCTTGGCCCAGGATGGATGCTACTGTGGGCTCAGCTGGGCTGCTGGCCCCAACTGTGCTCTGCCTGCTGTGGATCCCTGAGGCCGGCCTGCAGCTTATGAACCTGTCTCCATCCCTCTGTGCAAGCCCCTGCCCTAGAGCGTGACCAAGATGTCCAACTACTTGCATCACGGTACCAGACTAATGCCATCCTGGCCAATGAGCAGTTTGAAGATCTGCTAGGCACTCCCCAGAGCCCTGATCTTCTCTTCCTGTGCCACATATGCATCTATCTGCACCATTACTTCCAACAAGAGCACATTACGTTCTGCAAGTTTACGTGCAGGTAGGTCCAGAG